ATTATGGTTATATTTAGTTTCACAAACATAAAACATAAAATTTAAAACAATTAATATTAATAAAATAAATAATTTTAATAATGATAAAATATCATATATCTAGCTCATTAGAACAATTATTTTGACCAAACTATGTTTATTGTTAAATTTATTTTTAGTTTTTAATATCTCTTAAAAATAAGCACTACACAAAATGTGACTGTATTTGAAAATAATATTATATAATTAAAATATAAGTTCTAGATAATTTTCTGTAATTGAAAGATATTATAGTCAACTAAATATATGAAAAATAAATAAAAATTCAATAATACTAATTATAAACTATTTTATTACTCTAAAAGTATATTTTATGTTATTTAAAAATATTTTTAAATGTATTATTACTATTTTGTGAACTTTCCTTTTTTATGAAATATATTATATATACATATTTTTATGTTATTTAAAAATATTTTAAATGTATTATTACTATTTTGTCAATTTTCCTTTTTATGAAATCATATTATATATACATATATTTTCGTTTTAAATTTGTTTTTTATGACTTTATAAAAAATTATTTTTTATTACATATCTTTTTGGAAATTTTTGAAAAGGAAAAACTAAAAATAAAAGAATTAATAATAATAGTTTCAACTATTTTTAATTCATTAAGGGTATCAATGTAATCAACCATCGTGAGAATGAACATGAGAACGACACATAAGAAAGTGACTTCTCAAATAATATTATAGAGATATATGGCGCTATCACAAAGAAGTTTATTTCCAAATCTATAAACTGTTGGGACTTAAACTTATTTGTAATAAATTTTCGTGTGGAACATAAATCCTAAGATAGATTCGTTTTCACTTTGTTTTCATGATTCAAATAGATCAAGTCTTTTGTCCAAAAAAATAAAGATAGATCAAGTCTTGGATATTATCCAATGAAATATTATCAGCATTGATCTCTGAATTTTAGGAATTAACATATGAATTTCATAGTCTTTAAATTATAAAATATTACTAAGATTTATGATAAACTATTTTAAAGTAAGCCATAACTAATAATTTATATACACATGAATGTAACCAAATTGTATTTTATTACTAGATGACAAAACTTGGAGATCTTATAATTATAAGATAGACCAATCTTAAAATCTCAAAATACTGTAATCTAGATTCGAGCAACCAGCTTTGGAGGTCATAACATCAATAGAATATGACGCTGGTACCAAAGCTACACACATGGGGTGTGATGTCGATTATAAAGAGGTAGAAAGAAGAAAAGTACGCAAATTATTTTTCACTACTAGTGAAGGAGATATAATCATCCATGCCCAACATGCAGAGAATCTCTAACGTTTCATTCTTCTTTACTTTTATAAAACTTTAACAATAACTTTTTGTTTTACACTATAACATATTAGTCCCAATATAAACAAGTTCATCAAATACAACAGAACATATGGAGACTCCACTTTCATCTATACCACAACTAATCCCAAACCTTACTTCAGCTACAATGGTTGATGGATCCCCACGTGCTATTGCTCTTGATACGGAGCTACTTGCGACCGTCCCCGACACAAAGCTTCGCCTAATGTGCAGCTTTGGCGGTCACATCGTGCCTCGTCCACACGACAAGGCGCTAACGTACTCCAGCGGCGAGACACGACTAATAGTTGTTGATCGACGCTCTTCACTAGCTTCCCTTCGATCTCGTCTCTCTAGTATGCTTCTCAATGGCCGGTCCTTCACACTCAAGTACCAGCTCCCTAACGAAGATCTTGATTCGCTCGTCACCATCACTACCGATGAAGATCTTGAGAACATGATCGAGGAATACGACCGTGCGACGTCATCAGCAGCGGCTAGTGCAACGCAACGGATACGGTTGTTTCTTTTTGTTAACAAGCTTGAGACGGCTGCTACGATGGGATCTTTGCTTAACAGCGCAAAGTCGGAGACGTGGTTTGTCGATGCTTTGAATCAGTCTGGTTTGCTTCCTCGTGGTTTGTCGGATTCTGTCGCTGTGAATAACACTTTGCTGAATCTTGATGAGGGGAGTGGAGGAGAGACTGAAGTTCAAGAACTAGAAACTGATGTTGGAGGTGAGAGTAACAAGCGAGGAGATTATATTACAAACGATGTGATGTCTCATCAGGAGATGCATATGAGTTCTATGCCTGATTCTCCTATGTTGGAACCCGCTGGTGGTTCTGCCTCTTCTTCTCCTTCCACTGCCAACTTACCATATGTCTGTGTGAGAGTAAATGAAGACCAGAGGATCGAAGAACAGTTTGCTCAGATGAGCTTCTCAAACGTGCAGACTCGAACAATAAGTCCAATGGTGGGGTATAATAACACACCTATTGATGATGTTACTGACGTAAGAAACTACCAAGTTTCATCAGGCGACGATCCATCTGATCCTGGTGTGATGGTTGGATACAAGAAGCCACCTTTGCCGATGCAGCCTTTGGTGATTCCTGTTCGAGGTGCCGGCGGGTATGGCTTGACATCTCCTAATTCTATTGCAAGGTACTTTCATCTTCTACTGTCATTCTTTATTTAATATTTACTAGGATATATTGTTTGATATTATTCTTGTTCTAAGGTAATGATCTACAAATATTTTGTGAAATGAGTCTCTTTTGTTGTATTAAATAGATAAATGATATGGGACTAGGCATCCTTTTTTCAGCATCCCTTGAATTTTCTGTTCTCTTTGCTCTGTTTTTGTTTTATGATCTTCATATGTGGTGAATTATACGCGAACACTAGTCTAAACCCCACTATGAACCCGTATCAACGCTGTTTCGCGGGTCTAAAACAGAAAAAAAATAATCAAAAAAGCACATTGAAAATCGAGATTGGTGGAGTTTGCTGATGGGATGCTCTAAGTAGCTAAGAAGATAGATGACTACTTTGAAAGTATGTTATAGAAACCAACAATGAAAAATTTCTCTTAAGACGTTAAATGCATAAGAATGTTATTTCATATTTTATCTTCCAGCCTATTACTAGAGATGTTAGGTTTGTTCTTCCAGTGTATTACTAAATGCTAATTTCTCATGTTTGTTATTGTTATTTTGCATGCAGTGATAGAAGCATTTCTTCTGCTACTTCATTTTCAAAGCCGACGATGTACTACCAAGACCTAGCTCCAGCTATCCCAAAAGCTCCCATAACACAGCCTGAAACCACATTGGTCCAAACCAGTCATGCCATACCTCCACCTGAACCCACTTCAGTCCAAACCACATCACACGTCCTATCTCAGTCAGGTACATACACAACTATGGACCAACAACACCAACTGTCAGTTCAAAAACCTCTCCTACACCAAGGCGTTCAATACATCCCTCATCCATCACAATACGTCCCGGTTTACTCTCACCAGCAGCAAAACTACCCGGTTTATGTGATGTCCGTCCCACAATCTCAGCAGTATGTCCCAGCAAGAACTCTCCCAGTCTACATAAACTCAACACTCGCCACAAACCCAAGACCTGAAGCCACTCAAAACGTTTACGGCACTGCGATATCGCAAAGACCTCAGGTTCATCAGATTCAGCAACAACAATTGCAACAGGCTCAACATCAATACATGAGTTACTCTGGAGGCCCTCTGGAGACGATGTATTTCCATGCACAACATCCTCCTGTTAGCAATGCTACTCAACTGGTTTCTCCGTACCAAAGCATGACACCTGCGGCAGCTGCAGCCGCTCTAGCTGATATGTCCAAGCAGATGGCTCTTGATAACGACAGAGAACAACACCATATGGCATCGTCTCAACCGCTTTAAACACTAACTAAATATATGTTGCTTATCACGCGTATTATAATAATGTCGAGTTACAACTCATTAGATATAAATATGTAGGCTTTTGCTATATAGTTTTCTTAAGTATTTTAATTACTGTTAGTGTATTTGTTTCTTGGAAAATAAAATTGTTTGGATGATTTCTATAGATTTCTTATAAGAATATGAAAATTTTCTTGTATAGATTAACTATCAGTTTGATTTGTTTTAGTGCCAATCTCTTGCATAAAATCAAGAAATTAATGTAACCATATACCATAATATATACCAACCAATTGATTTCTATATCATCCACATTTTCTAGTCTAGATAAAAAACCAATTTATTTCTTGTATAACTGTTCGTCAAACAGAGTCTGGCTTAGCTTATAGATACATATTTTTTTTTTTGTAAATTACAGATTACAAAACATGTTTACCTACCACATTCAGAAATTGAACTATAATGTGTGTGAAAAACTCTAAGCTTTTCCGGTGGTTTGGATCTTGCAAGTCCATAAGCTGATCTTTTGTTTTGAGATAAAATCTCATGCATTAGAAACTATGAAAATAATTGGGACTTCTTTCGGAACTGAGCTACAAATACAAGAAAACAACAAACCATGCGCCTTGAGCTATATATATATACACAAGAATATCAGCACAAACATAATTACAATATTGTGGAACTACTAGAAAAGGCAAAAGAAGAAAATAACTTTTTAGAATGATGAAATCAGCAGTCTTTTTGGTCATCCAACACTCTTATCAGTTAAAAGCAATACAATCTCATATACGACATCTCTACTACACTGCTTTTGGATCAAACATTCCTTTATATTGTCACATAGTATTGCTCCAAACTTTGAATGTAAATACTAAACCTCTTAGGCCTAAAAACTGAGCTTCATCATCATCATCATCACCGTATAGAATATAGTCGACGCCACTTATATTTTTCATATAATTCGTGCCAAGATCAATCAAATTGACAGATCCTTTAAGAAAAATCAAATTGAGTAAACCTTTGAGGCCTATAAAGCTTAGTACGTTGGGTCTCTCTTTACTGGAGCAACCAGGCTTAAAAAGGGGTCCAGTGTCAAATCCGTAAATTACACAAAACATTTCAGTAAAGAAAAAAAAAGCACATTTTCGTCACCACTACGAAAAATCACAGATAGATAAAGCTCGACGACCCTAAAACCCTAAATCTCCCGATCCGCCATGAGAGCATCTCTCTTCCGAAACGCATCTCTCTGCGCTCGCAGACTCCTCCTCGCTCCTCGCATCACCACCACCCATCAAATCTCCTCCTCCTTCTCCAATGCTCCCTTCATCGCTCCGTTATTCCCCAGATTATTCTCCTCCGAGTCCGATTCGTCCGGTGAAAACCCTCCTCCTCCTCCTCCTCCCGAGTCTTCTTCTCCTCCGATCGAATCACCCAACAAGAAAGATCTCGCTGTAGAAGACGTAAGCAACAAAGGTAAATAAATAAATAAATAAAAATCGAAACTTTACTCGAATCTGTGTAAGCAAAATCTCAATTGATACTTACCTTTTATTATTTTCCAGAGCTGAAAGCGCGTATAGAGAAGTACTTCAACGAAGGAAACGAAGACGCATTACCCGGAATCATCGAAGCTCTTCTCCAGAGAAGACTTGTTGACAAGCACGCGGACACAGATGACGAAGTCATGGACTCTCTCCAGAGCCAGCCTTTTAAAGACGATGTGAAAGATGAAGACTTTGAATCTGATTTCGAGGAAGCTCACTCTACTGACGACGAGCTTGAGGATCTGTATAATTCACCTGAGTATGTCAAGAAGAAGATGCAGAAGAATGAGTTTTTCAATATGGATGAGAAGAAGTGGGATGTTATTGTTAGAGATGGGATTCGGCATGGGATTTTGAAAGATACTAAGGAGTGTGAAGAGATTCTTGAGGATATGCTTCACTGGGACAAGCTTCTTCCTGGTATATGCTGTTTTCTTTTATATTAGATATCTGTAAACTTAGCTGCCTTTGCATCTTAGGTTTTGAGGTGTTATATCTTCAGAGAGTAGGATGATTGTTTCAACTAATGTGTGTTCTTATTAGCTAAAATTACTCTCTAATGGGACTGAGTATTTGTTGTTGTCTTTTATATTTGAGATATTGCTAGAATCATAGTAGGAGAACGATCTTTGTTTGTAATATGATACTTTGAAGATTCTTTACTTTTCTGGTCATTAGGAGCTTTTCATTGAGAGCATATTGGTATATGCTGTTTTCTTACTTTGTTGCCTATGCATCTTAGGTTTGGAGGTGTTATACCTTCAGAGACTAGGATGATTGTTACAACTAATGTGTGTTCTTATTAGCTAAAATTACTCTCTAATGGGACTGAGAGTATTTGTTGCTGTCTTTTATATTTGGGATGTTGCTAGAAACATAGTAGGAGAACGAACTTTGTTATTGTGATCATTTGAAGATTCATTGCTTCTCGGGTTAGCGTGGTGTTTTTTATAGAACATCTACTGGTTTGTTCTTGTGTTGCATTTATGAGAAAATTATGGAAATCTTCTGACTGTTAGTATAAGAGTTAACCTCCATTCACATCTTTAGACTTAGCATCTTACTTTTGAGGTATTCTGTCTTCAGGGGCTAGGTTGATTGATATACCAATGTGCTTCCTTATTAGCTAAAATCACTCTGTAATGTGACTGAGTATATGTTGTTATCCTTTTGTATTTGGGATAATGGTAGAATCATATAGAGTCTTTATTTATAGAGCATCTTGGTTTGTTTTCCTGTGATGAGTTTATAAGAAACATTAGTAAATCCTATGACTGTATTTTCCATTCAGATGACTTGAAGAAGAAAGTTGAAGCAAAGTTTAATGAACTCGGTGACATGTGTGAGAGTGGTGAACTCACCCCTGAGGCAGCTTATGAGCTTTTTAAGGAATTCGAAGATGAGATGGTGATTCAATATGGGGATCAGATGGAAGCTGCAGGACCTCCCAAGTTTGATGAAACGGATCCTGCCTATAGGAACACCAACTTGGATGACCCTCCTGGTGAAGGCCCAATCCTTAGGTGGCAATCAAGGATTGTTTTTGCTCCTGGAGGCGATGCTTGGCATCCAAAGAACAGGAAAGTTAAGCTGTCTGTTACAGTGAAAGAGCTCGGACTCTCTAAGCATCAGGCCCGTAGGCTAAGGGAACTCGTGGGGAAAAGATATGATTCAGGGAAAGACGAGCTTACAATTACCAGCGAGAGGTAATTACAACTCTTTAAACATTGTTAAAAAGGTTACAAGAAAAGAATTGTTGTTATATCATGAACTGTTGTCACAGGTTTGAACATCGAGAGGAAAACAGGAAAGATTGTCTGAGGACGCTTTACGGGTTGATAGAGGAAGCTGCGAAAGCCAACAAGATCGCTGAGGACATAAGAACTGCTTATGTGAAACAGAGGCTCCAAGCTAACCCAGCTTTTATGCAGAAACTACAAGACAAGATCATGAGGTCTAAAGAATCAAACCCCATCAACGCATGAAGAAACTTCTTCCTGGTTCGTGCTTTTGTTCTCCGTTTTCACCAAAGAATCCAAGTTGATGATCTCTTTTCGAGCCATCAGTTGATCCGGATTTCGGATCCATAAAGTAGTATTGATGGTAACTCCATATTTTGTTTTGGTTTTACTTCTCCTTTTGTCATGAAACTTGGTCGTGTTGTTGGGGGCTTATTAGGACCATGAGACAGTGACTGTTTCTTTTATGGGTTACGTTATGAAGCGATCCTCCCTTGAAACTTTGGTTTTAATATTGGATTTGGATCGGTTTATCCGGTTTAGTAACTAAAGGAAAAAACAGAAGATAGTTTTCTATGCATCATTATTAAATTTCAACAATCGAGAAGAAATTGCTAGTATTTATATACAACGCATTCTTATATTTATGAAAGAAAAACAAAGATGGAACTCTACCAATGATGACAACGAAAACCACAATACGACAAGTAGTCTTTTTTCAAGACGAAAAACTCTTAATCTCCACAAGGACCACAACCACCACCGCAACTGGCACCTCCACAACCTTCGGCAGCAGGGGTGTTGCCGGAAGTGGCTATGTTGTCGGATGCTCTGTCTGCACATGAGAGTAAGCCGAGGGGACAAACTGAATAACATGAAAAAGGTAACTAACATGGAACTGTGTTGTTGTTGCCATGCTAATTACATCATCTAAATGTCTCGCCATTTCTCTTTTAAGATGTTTCCGTGTGCATGAGGCTGAATTGTTTAATGTGATTCATCCTACTTATTGTTGATATTATGTGATATAAATATTGATATATCGTTAAAAGATCTTCAGTTGATGCATATATAGTGATATAAATATTGGACGTAGTTTTTTTTTTAACACTAGTTAATTATACATTACAAACTATGAGAAATATTACATAGACGATATCACAGCCGACAATTCTGCATGTCTTAAGCGGATTCACGTCTGACTGCATCACCTTGACCCGTCCTATAAAATCAATTCCTGAAAGTATTCGTTGCGCCATGTTGAAGATCTCTTGTAAGTATTTTGTAGTCTGGGATTCAAACCTCACATCTAGTATAGAAACCTTTAAATCTTAACCACTATACTACGGTGCTTCCACATATATTGGACTTGGTTTACAATTATATATAGTTAAAAGATCTTCAGTTGATGCATACATAGTTAAATAGTTAAAGTATCTTCAGTTTTCAACGTTTGTTTATTCCACCGCTTCACCAAAACTGTATAGAATAGAACAAATCAACAGAGGAATAACAAAGTAAAGCAAACCAACAAATTAAAAGAAATAAACATTGTCCCCATCACTTCGCGAACATATTAGATAATGGTTTCACTTTTAATAATAAACAAAGAAATAGTTGATTTGTTCATGCAGTTAAAAATTATTTGCAAATGTTCGTAGATTAATATGGTTTGTAGAATCTCTATATTATCTTATATATTAAAACAGAAGTCACCATTTCACTTTATGTGTGATTTTTTAGTTTAGATCATATTTATAATTTTTACATATGTTAATTATGATATCTTTTCATATCTTATTTTTATTGGAAATGTAAATAAATATTTGGAAAAAAATTCTAACAAAATCTTTTAGAAATATTTTAAAATCTTTTAGAAATATATTTCGAAAATAAGTTATTTCAAATTTTAATTATCATCAAATAATTAAAAATCTTATGCATTTTTAATCTATAAGCAAAAATAAAAATAATGTAAAATAGTTCTAACAGTATCCAAAAATTTGTTTTCTCTATTATGTAGGTCCAAGTTAATTTAATTTTCACATATATTTCAAATTTATAAATAAAACAAAAAAGTAAATTAAAAAAATACTAATTTATAAATCACACAAACATTATTATAAAATTAGATAATATATAAGATCTAATTTTATTAACTTATTGATAAATTTTATCATATAACCTACAAAATTTTAATGTTTAAAAATATTATTATGCCTCAGTATATATTTAGTTATTGTTTAAAATGAAAAATAAAAACAATTATCATATTTTATTTATCTTATAATCATAATTTATCATATTAACATAATTATTATAATGAACTAAATATGATAAAACTAAATTAGAATGATATATTAATATATTTTATTTTTCATAAATAGAAATATTTATGTTAAAATAATATATTATGTTGTCAAAGCGGGCTAACATACTATGTATTACATGTATACAAATTAATATATCTTAAATTTATATATATCCAACAATATATCATCTAAAATTAATATACATAAATAAATAACCATTTGGTTGACAAAACAAAAGAAAAATTAATAAATATTTAAATATATGATTAATATTAAAAATATATATACACATAATAATATAAACAAATATATATAAATGAAATTTAAACCCCGCTCGGTTGAGCGGGTCAAAATCTAGTTCTCATTATTGTTATACTTTGGTGAAGCCAATTATATGATTGTCATAGATATAGTCTATACTCTATATATTGTATACTTGATATATTAAAATTATATCTAATAGAAAACACAACTTATTTCGGATTGTCTACAACTGATGTTGGTGAAATGTCATTTTAATTTCAGTTGAGCCGAAACATTCCTATGATGAAAAGTTAAAAAAAAATTCTTTGATGGTTAGAACTTAGAACACATTAAAAATCATAATTTAGCATGATAAAGAATTTGAGAATCAGGCTGATGAATTTGAGAATCAGGCTGATTTGGTAAGTTTTTAAAATATGATTCGTTAGTAGTAGAAATAAATTTAAAAGATGGAAGTTCTCCGAAGTAATACATCCATCATATATATGTATGCTTGATACAAAGAAAGTGAATTTCTTAAATTCTTTATCATGCTAACAGATAGTTAATATCGACAATCTCATTAAATTAATGATCTCATTAAATGAGACTTTCTTTAAATGACTCAATGTTGATTTATATTGTCCAACATAATAATTGTTTTCAAAAGTGTAAGATATACTCTTAGTCCGTATTACTTAGACAGCAATGTAAATCATAGTTTACTATATATTATGACCTAAGTATTGCATGTTTTTGATGTAAATCGGAAAGTAATTTTTAGTGTTCTTTTTTTTCTTATAAATAGCAAAGAGACGCTTTAATGAAAAAGACGCTATTCATAATTTTTTTTGTTAATAAAAGAAAAATGAAGAATATTGTTCGGTTCTCAGGCTTCTTTGCATACACAGATTTATATAAAGAGTAATACATAAATTAAGTTGTTTTGTTATTAACAAACGAACTAATACTGTATATTAAGTATTTTTCCTTGCAACACAATTCTGTAGAACCCAAATTATGAAATTTATATTGAAGATCAAGAAAAAGCGTTGACACCAGTCTAAAGACATCTCCAACCCAATTATGAAATTTATATTGTTAGACTATGAAAAACAATTAGGCAGGTGCCATCGCTTTTTTTTATCTTCAATATAAATTTCATAATTTGAGTTATACATAATTGTGTTGCAAGGAAAATACTTGATATACAGTATTAGTTCGTTTTTTAATAACAAAACAACTTAATTTATGTATTACTCTTTATATAAATCTGTGTATGCGAAGAAACCTGAGAACCGAATAATATTCTTTTTTTTAACTTTTATTAACAAAAAAAATTATGAATAGCGTCTTTTTCATTAAAGCGTCTCTTTGCTATTTATAAGAAAAAAAGAACACTAAAAAATTACTTTCCGATTTATATCAAAAACATGCAATACTTAGGTCATAATATAGTAAACTTTGATTTACATTGCTGTCCAAGTAATACGGACTAAGAGTATATCTTACACTTTTGAAAACAATTATTATGTTGGACAATATAAATCAACATTGAGTCATTTAAAGAAAGTCTCATTTAATGAGATTGCCGATATTAACTATCTGTTAGCATGATAAAGAATTTGAGAAATTCACTTTCTTTGTATCAAGCATACATATATATGATGGATGTATTACTTCGGAAAACTTCCATCTTTTAAATTTATTTCTACTACTAACGAATCATATTTTAAAAACTTACCAAATCAGCCTGATTCTCAAATTCTTTATCATGCTAAATTAAGAAAATATTAGTAATGACCTTTCGTAGTAGTTTATGATATACCATGTTAACCTAACTTTCATCTTATAAAAAAAATTGGTTGCAAACAAATAATTAATATTATCATCCTTTATATTTGGACGTTAAGTTTAATAATAGTCGGGCTGTAAAATTTTATGATGTCTTAATGGTCACCAAACTATACTTGAAATTATAAGCTTAATCCAATTTGTAATTCTTTTTTTTTAATAATTTAAATTTCCATTTGTTGTTGTCAAAAAGAAAGTAAAAGTCCGATATTCTGAAAATTAGTGTAACTTCAAAATCAAAAATATATAAATTTTATTTACTGATAAGTTAGTAAAAGAAAATATCCAAATATATAAGCCCAACATGATTATATAAACAATCAAAAATTGTATACATATAAAAACAATTCAATCATATACTAATCTTAATTTTGTCAATACAATATGTTTAATTAGAAAACAACTACTTATTTCGGATTATCTATAATTGAGATAGCTTAAGTATTCTTTTCAATTTCAGTTGAGCCGAAAGAAGATTAATAGTAAATTGCTGATCTATACTATTATTTGCGAAGTGATTTTTCGCAACGGAGCTCTCACGTTAAAAGTTAGAACGGCTAATATCGATTATACCCTTAATGAAATATATCTATATAATTTATGATATAATTAAAAACGAATTTGATATAATAATATTAGATTTATATGTTTTCTTAGATAATTATAAATTAGTATAATAGAATTATCAAAAATAATGCTAACGTCGGTATTATGCCTATGTGTATTTATTTGTATTGACCAAGTGAAATTAGTTATACTAGGTAGGGGTGGGATGGATCCAGATATCCGGCGAAAACTGAAGTATCCGGATCCGGATTCGGATCCGTAAAAATAATTAAAAGAATAAAAAATATTAAAAAATCAAAATATTTAAAAAATCAAGAATTCTAAAAGTAATACATAATTAAATATTTATGCAAATTTTATGAATAAAAATGACATATAATATTATAAATATTAAAATAGAATGTTAGAAAACTTATTTTATGTATAAATATTAATATTATTAGATATAATTAATAATAAAATGAAAAATTTAATATATTTTAAAAATACGGATCCGGATTCGTATCCGGTTTGGACGGATCTGAGATTTTACTATCCGGATTCGGAGCGGATCCGGAGCGGATCCGAAGCGGATCTGGAACAGAGCTCGGATCGAATCCAAATCCCGGATAATAAGTCCCAGACATAATGCTAGGGAAGTTAATGGCAACATCAATTTACTACTTTAATACGTTTATATATGCTTATGTGTGTTCTGACTATTTATTATTTCTAACTACAATCGTATTTAGTTTGCTACGAGGAATCTTATAAAAGAAACAATAGCTTCAGAAAATTATTTAACACTAAATTAGTTAACTAAGGAATTTCTTTACCATCGTACTGTAGTACGTCTTACTAGAAACTGTAAGTAAGAAATTTAAACAAGAATAATGACTTTATAGAAATGAATTTTCTTCTACTTGATGAGAAGGTAAATATTTTATATATGAAAAAACCTTATATAATTTCATTATTAAAAATAATTTGTTCTACTCAAGGTTATTTGCATTATTATCTTATTGAAAAGTTGGGAAATGAGACGTAAAGAATCCTTATTGAAATTAAATCTGCAGTTTTAATTTGTAAAATTGCAATAAAAACTATGAACTCTTAGATAATAATTTTCAGATAAGATTAACCAAAAGAACAAGTGCATGTGTGGAAAAACAATTACCTCAAGCACCGTCTGAAATTTTTCTTTTCGAAATTATGAAGATTTTTCTCAACTGAAAGATTTCATTTATAAGATAATATTCATAGTTTTATATCAATTTTTTTTTGTATTAATTTGGTTGTCAAACATTGTATATATCTATCAACTGACTGAGTATTTGTAATGAATTTTGCTTGAAATAACATTATTATATAACACAATTTTGTTATAGATGTAACCAGATATATAAATAATATGGAGAAAATAGATGTTCCTAATCAGACACCACATTTTCTCTAAAAAAATATTCTAATTTTATTGTTAGGTAGATATATTTTTAAATCAATTCTATTGTTGAGTTTGTAACTATAAAATAAATCTCACACAACTTATGAAAAAAAAAATCGTAAATCTATAATAGATTAATTATTATTTTTATTTTCTTTATTAAATTAAAACATCAAACAAAACCCGTTGCAACGCACGGGCTTTATCTAGTATTAAATAAAGTACACCAGTTAATAAAAGTATAATTTTAAAAGAAACGTTCAATAAAGCTCTCAAGACTTCAACCACTGTGATTCACCACTCTTCTGAATCTGATCCCATCAACTTGGTATTGGAGAGCACAACGTTGACACTTTTGTTGCGAGGAAGTGTTGGAACCACCACGTCTTCAATTTTAAAATTAAGGTAACGTTCATCCAACAATACGACCATCTTGTCTAGTTTCTCAGTGTTCTTAAGCACAAGTTCCACTAATGAAGACACATGCTCAGATTTCAAATCCTCACAACACTTGTTCCAAGAGACTCCATCTTTTGATCTCCAGCATTTGTTCACGTTAAAGCCTCGTAATTTCAAGTAGTTGCCAGCAAACTCCTCCTGTATAATAGAAAATACAAAATTGGTTCATGGATGCATTCGAACTCGATCATGATGATATATGTGCTGGAAAAAGAGGTTAATGGTGAATATACCGGTACTTGGAAGCGAGTCCTTCCACGTACTTTTAGCTTCTCTAAATCAGGTGAGTTTTGTAACAGTCTTTCTATGCCAGGAATAACATACTGACAAATATTTATATCAAGAGTCAATGCTTTGACCTTGAGTATCGGGAAAGGAGCACCACCCCAGAGTATCGGGACAGGACCACGAATCTCAGCAAGAGATAAAAGCTAAAAGAATGAACATATATTGGTTAGTACCTAGCTTATCACAAATATATTATTCAAACGTTCTTACAACTATATAAATTCAATTTCTCATGAACACTAATCCATATAATTAAAGATGTTGATCGGCAACCAACTACTTTTTAGGCATTAGAGAGTAAAATAATACGTGTTAAAAACCTATATATATAATATATACATACCTGAATAAAGTTTCCCCCAAACGTAAGCTTCTCAACATTATGTAACTTTTCTAGCATCTTTAGCCCCATGGTTTCAAGATCATAAATGCGGTCAGTGTAGCGGTCTGAGACACAGGAAATTTCAAGATTAGCTTCGGCCAAAGAAGAGACATCAACCAAAGTACATGATAACCCAGAGTCATGCAATCTGAGACAATGGATGTGTGGTGCCACAATCTGCCTTGGCCCCTGATACCACTCGTCACGTTGTAATTCTAATGTTCTCAGACGTAGGGATTTGCTGAGATCAAGAACATTTAGTTCATTCCAGTAATCGAAGGTTAAGTTCTCAAGAACCGGACAACCGGATAGAATCTTAGCCATGGATTCATTAGAGAGACTACAAGAAGTCAATGATAACTTCTGCAAGGATGTCCAAGAGATAGTGCATTCGGGTTGCAAAACAATCATATGATAAAATTGTAAATTAATTTTGAGTTGCTTGACAGAAGAGCTGTTGAAAAAGAAATCAGGAAGCTCATATTTAAAATGAGAAAAACATAAATCGAGGGAGAGACTCTCAACGTTGTGTGACATGGCCCACTTGATCCACCTGTCGATGTATGGTTTGTTCTCTGTAATGGGTTTTATTCTGAGGTGAAAATTCTTCGTCTTGGGAGCTGCGTAGCGGTTTAGGGTTTCGTTTACCGAAGCTGCAGTCAGTGTATCCACATCTAAGGAGATAGAATGTACCTCACACCATACATGCCTCCATCGTCTAGACAAAAGGGATGTGCTGATCGATATTTTGGTTGGAATAAAGCATAGTATGTGTTGTTGGAGGATCTCATCTGGTAAGTTGCTGATCGAGTCTACTGCTCCTTCGATTTTCCTGTTGTCACCCATCTTCATTTGCGACATATATTCTTCGGGCACAGCTTTTATATATAGGGTACTCTATGATCTCATCTTATGTTTTTATTTGCTACATAAATGTTATGTGATCTCCAATCTTAAAGAACCTCATAATATCTCACAGATTTTGTATTAGTATTGTAATGTGATTTATTAAATAATAACTTTTATTTTTTAAATTAAGCTATTCACATAATGACATTTGGTAGTAAAATATCTAATGATTTTAATTGTCATATAAAAAAAGGTTCATATTAATTGGGTTTTCAAATCAAATTAAAGATTTATTATTTCATACACATTACTTGATAAGTGATATATTGAATTTTGCTTATGGGTCAACATCACATTCATTTCATCATAAAGTGATATATTTTAGTAAAAATAATGACATGTCTTAATTTTTATTATGATATGCTAGAATACATTTATGAAGTTTTCTATTTTTTTGTTAGATGCCCGAAATATAACCATAGTGTTTATGTATCATCATTAATCAAATTTTGAACTAGTAACATAATTATAAATATTTTTAATACATTATTTGTGAAGTGATTTTGATAATTATTTTCACTAAAAGATGACATGACATAGTAAAATAAATGACATGGCTTATGGTTAAATGTGACATGAACAACTACATTTAATGTTAATTTTATTTTTGGTATGGATTACGGTTAAATGTCACATTAACGACTATATTTAATATTAATTTTTATTTTGGTACACTTTTCAAAATATGGTAATAACTAATATATCATCATTAAATAATTTAATAATATCAAATATTTTAAAACTTTGAAATATCATTTGTTTTTTTATTATCTACAAATGTTAGAAGTTTTTTTAGTTTTATATTTTTGATATTTAAAAAAAATTATGCAATTTTTTTATATTATGCAAGTTCATTTATTATATTATTACCCAAAGAAATAGATAAAAAAATCTCTCTAAAATTATAATTTTAAATATATACGTATTTATTATCAAATATAATTTTAAATAAAGTAAATTATTTATTTTATGTGTAATATATTTATATTTATTAATATTTATATAACTAATTTAATCAATATTGACTACAAATGTAAAAATTTGTCATCATTACTGTATTATTATTTAATTTGTACTAGATCATGATCGGCGCAGTCACGCAAGTTTTATTTTTCGGATATATTCTTTATAATTTAGTTTTACATAGTTTCGAGTTTGTCCAATTTGGTTTTATGTTTAAAGAACAATATCAAAATTATATTTTGTATTAATAGCATCAAGAAGTGTATTATGTAGACGTAATTGTGCAGTGAAGACACTTATTTTGTATGTTTGTTCGAAGTGCAAAATCATATTCAAATATAACTGTTTGCGTTAAAAAAAAATGAGAGTTTAGTTACTTCTGATGTTAATAACTATCCAAAGTTTTTAAAATAATATACAAACTTCTAAAATTTTTGGTCTTAACCTTTATTTTATAGATTAAGTCAAATTCAAACTTAATTTTGGTCTTAGTTATGCAAGCGCAAAATATTTTATGATAAGAAATTTTATAAATAACTTAAAAAATATTTTGGTAATTTGAGAGAATTTATGTATTTAAAATACTTTTCATTTAAATCAGTATTTTTAAATTCAACCCGAACCGCAGTTAAACTAATGATCCGATAATTCAATTTTTTTATTTTAAAAATATCCATATTTAAAAAATCACTAAAACTCGAGACTAACCGATTGAACCAATGTATAATTAATATGTTATATTTAAACCTGTTAAAATAAGTTTATTTTGTTATTTTATATTTTATTAAAAATTTTAGTTTATTTAAATAATTTGAAAGAAAATTGTGAGAATTATTAAAGAGGGTGAGATTTAATATTTTGTATTGTTTGGAAATTAGATGAATTATAATGTTATCTGAAAACATGAATAATAATATAAAGAAGCAAATATATTGTTTGGAGACATGTATATTAATATAAAGAAATCCCTTATATATTAATAGAGAAACATTTAAAAGATGTAATCTTAAGTTTGTAAAAATTTAAAAAGTGTCTATCCTACGTGTCAACTAGTTAGCATAGCAATTTTGATGATGTGTCAGCTTCATATTCAATTGAAAAAATAGTTGGTCCAAAGGCTCTCTAATGATTTCTTTAGGAAAGACTATATTAATTGCATATAGTTATGGTTCTCTGAAATTTATATTACTGTAGAACAAGTAAAAAATACTTTGCTATATGATAAAAAAATATTTTAAATCGAAGACTATATAAAAAACATTAACATATTTACGCATCATGTTATATGATTATAGAACTCCATCATGATGGCAATACATGAATGCTATAGGGATTGCTGTGAAACATCTTTGAAGTTGATCACTTATATTGAGTTCACCTCAAGCCGCCCCGTCACAGCTCCAAGTCAGCGTGCTTTCATTAGAATCCATGGCTTACGAAAACTCCTCTGCGGTGTCTTGCGAAGGTAGTTCTGTCGTCGTCAAATCAACCCTCGCGGTCTCGTATCATATGCAGCTTGACGAAGACAACAATGGTCAAACTTAGCATATTTACATATATGGTACTTCATTATTTGTAGGTTTTTGTTTTTGAACTTAAACTTATTAATTTACATTTTCTTTTCAAATTTGCAATTGTGTACTCAGTTCCTATTATATGCAATTAAACATATAATTGCAATATATATATATATATATATATATATATATAACCTATAATGACCTAAATGAAGTAAAATGAAATGTCTAAAACCAATAAAATCATGAAATACACATAGAAATATCTTATGAAAAAGTAGCACACCTTAACACAATTACTTGAGCTTATTTTCCTAATAAAAAACATTAGCGATTTTGAGAGAAATATCACAATCTAATCATCATTTTTCTTTCAATAAACAAAAAACATGAATAGTTTTTTTTTTTTGTAACAACACTAAGCTACTTAATCATCAAGAGTATAAGAGCATGATTATCGGTGGTGGGAGAGAAGTTTTTACGCGTGGACCTCACATTTTTGCAAAAACTGTCTTCTAATGTCGTAACAAGAAACTTTTTTCATGGATTTTTTGTACTGGTTTGATCTACAATTCTAATTACAATTGTTTGCTCCTACGTATAAATAATTATATAAAAAATCTAAAATTTCAAATACATATAAACACAATCATATGTAAATTTTAAATTTATCAATACTAATATTTTATATTTTAATTACATACACTCATCCTGCGCAAGGCGCATGTCTTATCCTAATAAATATATTGTTTGTAAACATGGATAGTACTATAAAAAAAGAAATATTAGTGATTTAATGTTGGTTTAACTATAAAATAGAAATACATATTTAATTTAAAAACTTACAAAATCGATGTTAGGCCCATCCTACTGTTTCTGATTTAATAAGGTAGAAGTTCACGTGTCATGTAACAAACCAATGTACTACTAAGTTGGTAACATAAATGATTCATTCAATAGACTTTTGTCACATTTTAATAGGCACTGTTGGTGAAGACGGAATTCATCTCGTTATTATGTTTTATCTCTATAATACATCAATTATATATCATTCTATACCTACATATCAATCACCATTAGGTGTTTTCCGACACCATATGCAGAAATACTATTTTTAAAACTAAATTATATTTAAAAATAAAAATTTGTTTTACATTATTAATTTATGTTAACAATATGTAAAACTAAGATAAAATAATTATTTTTAATTTAAATTTACGTTTAATATATATATATATATAATTATATTATTGAAAAGATATTTTTTGGGTTAAAATATGCTAAATCGAACTTTATACAATTAAGAGAAATGTTTTTAGGTATATAATTATCAAAATATAAAACTGAATCATATTTCGAAAATTTATAAATGTTATATATAAAAAATGGTATTGAGATTAAAAAGTTACAATTTTTTACCCGCATAAATTTTTAAAGAATTTTTATTAATAATAATTATACAATTATAAAAAATAGACTTAAACATAATTTCAAAACTTGTAAATATTATTATATTTCTATTTCTATTATTATATTATTTATTGTTATATTTCCTATATATTATTTATTGTTATATTTCCTATATATTATTTGAAAAATGATTTTGCCACATGTTCTCTTTACAATTATTTTCACAAAAATAATGTGACATATCTATTAAAATTGATGACATGGCTTATAACTTAATATAACATGGACAATTGCATTTAAAGTTAATTCATAATTTTGGTAAACTTTTTAAAATATGATAACAACTCATAATATATATATATATATATATATATATATATATATATATATATATATATATATATATATATATATTCAAATATGCCATTACAAATTTTGAAGGGGTTTTTGAAAATTTGACTCATAACACATGGTCAAACACAAAACTAACTTCTTCTTTTAACTCATCTTGTTTTTGTCCTATCCACCCCACATCTTCATTTTATTTACGAAAATGCCATTAAACTTTTTTTTTTACTTTTTTCGAAAATAGCCTTTTTACTCTCTCAACTTCATCATCTTCAAGTATTTACAACATTGCCATTGCCATGAATACCCCAACAACCTTGTACAACCCAACAACCTTGTACAACCAAGGTTTGAAGCTTTTAATGCACTTAAAATCGATACTCATACTCTCTTTCTCAATTGTTATGAACTAAAAACAACATCTCCTTCACTTTGTCTCCATATTCATACCAAAAACCCAATCTTTTGATAGCAAATTTTTTATGGTTGATAGAGCCATTTAAGCATACAATTGTTGGTGGGTTACTTTCGTTCGATGTTCTGGGTGATTGGAGAAGACTCTGTGTGCAAAGGAAGTCATCTCACCTAGTTTAAGGTTTGAAATTGAATTTTTTTCCAGATCTCTTCGCGTAGAAGACTTACCCGTAAGTCTTCTGGATGTAGAAGACTTACGGATAAGTCTTCTGGTCAAACGGACGACTTACTTCTAAGTCG